CTATACAAAATTGATATCAAGACAACGCTAACACATTCACAACACTAACAAGCTATATACTCCCAAGAGGAGAATCAACTTCCACAATAAGAATAATCAAAGCAACCAACTAGATAAGAAAAAAAAGAAAGAAAAAACTAGGCAATATAAGAGAAAATTCAAAACAACACATAAACACCAAATACTAGAATAAAATCATCCTCCGATAAACAAATAACAACACCAACGATTGCACGACACTTGAAAATGACTCGCCAAAAAGGACGGAACTCAGCCCGACCTTATTAACATGAAAAGAGGCTGAGAATGAGATTACCTCTTCAAGTGCTTGGTTGAAATCACAAGAATGGCTATGAATCCTTACTACTGTGCGTGCGTGTATAAAATGATCATAATCTCACATAGTATTTTCTTAGTGAAAGCTGGTGTAGTAACTGAACATTCCCTCCAAAAATATCAGATTTTATAATGGGAAAACGTTGGTGAGGATTGGGGAGAAACTCACGGCCAATGGCTGTGCGCCACTTGCCGTACGATTAGAGCTCGAGGGTGGCATTGGTGTGCTTACTCACCCTCACTTTTGCTGAGTCACGGCCCTAAGGCACAATGAGCCCTCTATCGAACCGAACTCTAGACCTGACCAGGCCAACCCTAGAACAACAACTGAAGCACAACCCCCAACCCCCACAAACCCAAACCTAACTCGGCCCAAGACTCAACTCATGCCGCCCCGACTTCCAATATTAAAATCAGTCGGGGGAAGCTGAAAAGGGGGAAAGAGACAACACCCAACTCCGGCCAGTACATCAGTTAAGGCCGGAGCAAGTGAAATCCCAGGACCCGAAGCCACCGAACCTTCCCCAAACGCAGACAACCGGTGGTGCAACGAAGCTCTGCCACTGGGAGGGGTCGCCGACTCCTATCGGGGAGAACCACACGGTTCGATCTGACGCAGCGCCGATGAAGGCACAACCGAATGAGGCAACCGGCGAAATTAAGGGTTTGGCTTAAAAAGGAGTGAGAGCTTTTTTTAGAGAGAGAAAAAGGGGTTGTGTTATAGTACGTTTGAGTTTTATGGTCGCCATATTTCATTCGAGAAATGCCATAGATACATAATATTGTATATAGGGGTATACATTACACTCACATTTAGTGTGACCTACCAAAATTAAAAAATCAACTGAACTCCACTGCATATGAGTGTTATGTACACCTTTATATACATTTATTAGCATTTTTCATTTCATAATTATCATAAATAAATGGCTCGTGCAAGTTTGATTATATATGTTTTGGTGAATAATTGTATTTGATTGGTGAAATAAAAATAGTGGAAGGATTAATAAGTTTTAATTTAAAGTGATGAAAAAATATTAATTAATTTTGATGATAGGTAAATGGAAAATCATACTCCCTTCTATTATTTTTATTTGTCATTTTGGTTTTATTGGCTATTAATCAAGTAAATGGCGTTTTGAATTTTTTATACATATTTTCCATTATTACCCTTATTTAACCGATACACTACACGTTTTGGGAGGAAAGTTACTGAATACAATGAGTTTTCTTTATTAAAAAAAATTAAAATGCTAAAAAGAATAGATTAATTGATGTTAATTTATTTTAAATAATGCAAATATTAGCAAGAAAAAACTTCTAGTTTATGTGTCAAAGCACAAAACGACATTTAAAAAGACTAGGAGTGAGTAATTGATATTTTAAAATATGTTTGAGAAGGATTTGGTCTAGTAACTTCGGTTTAAGACTCTAGATGCCCCTTTGGGGTCCATAATCTTCCTCCTGACTCCGAGTCGACCAAGCTTGTTCACCAAAGTACCTGAAAAAGCGCCGGAAACCTTCCCAGCATAAATCCTATGACGGTCAAGTTAATGGTTTTGTTCTAGGAGATAATGTGCTCAAATGTATGAATTGATAATAATAAATTCGGTTATGATATTCTATGGTGAAAGACTGCCTTTATATGAGAAGATACGACTTCTTGTCCCAGAGTGCTCTAGTTTAGGTCGACTCCACAGATAATTGGAGATTTGATATATTAGTTCGATTAACTAGTCTCTCAACTTGATTGGTCAACAGGTCGATAGGACAAGCTTATTCTACAAGGATCTGGTCCATATTGTATGAATCGGGGGAAAGTGGTGCAGTCTGCCGTGATACGCAACATAACAGGGTTAGCTTAGATGTACCTTAGTGAGGTTCCGTCACAAAACTAATTGGTTAGTAGGAGTAGCCTACTAGGCTTATAAGTTAGACTTATTTTCATGTATAAACGATGTGGGACAACTCACAAGTGATATTCTAATACATATGACACGTCTGGTCTACTCAACAGATAATTAGAAACTTGATATATTAGCTCATCTCCCAATATTGATCAACATGACGATAGGACAAAATTATTCTACAAGGGATCTGCTTGATCCATATGACACGCCTGGTCGACCTATCGATCTACGGTCTAGGTCGACTTCGTTCTAGCTCGACCCATGAGAGCTCAAGTTCTGAGCTTGAGCTATCTGGCCCATATCAATGTTGATGAATGAATAATAAATTTAATAGTTAAGGAGTAGTAATCTAAAATTTAGTTTAACTGAGAGGAGAAAAGAGAAACAATGGAATAGATTAATGGTGTACTTTATTTTTCTTATTAGGCGACTAAAAGTGTGATATTGCAATATTGAACATACACTCAAGTTGCACTCTATAACTCTATAACTTGTTTGATTATTAGTTGATATAACATAGTTAATAGA